CCTTCCTATATTTAACGTAAGGTTGACCTGTTTGAGCTCTCACCCCCGAATTCGACGAAAATGACGCTTCTACACCCCAAAACGGTCCCGCCCAGTTTAGGAGTAGTGGTGCATGCGGTTTGAAAGGTAGGTACCTATAGCCTCTGCAGTAGTCGAAATCGCCACATTTGGACCCACTTTTACAGAAATGGACCAAGTTTGAACCGAAAAAAAAGAGGTTTGAAGTTTTATTCCTCTTCTAGACTGAATGTTGAGGACAAAGTTTAGCGTCGATTTTCACGCTTAAAAATATTTTTTCTCGACTTTGAATTTTTGTCAGGACGGAATGTATGACAAGTTGAATTTTAAAACTACTCCAGAGTATTTGTGTAATTCCAAAATCAGCTAAAAGTGCTTTTTAAAAGCTAGGTCCAATTTTGTTCCCCCGACCATTTAGAGAGTACTTTCGAAAAAAGTCACTTGCGCGTCGTAAGCGGCGAGTGTTTCGATTTTCTCGTGTTTCAACTCTACGGAGCTGGGTGTTTCCTTGGAAATTTTAAAACCACCTAGTGCGAGACACACGCACACCCTCCCTCACATACTTACACCCTAACAAAAAAAAAAAAAGTCTGAGATGAACATGCTATGGTATGTGCTTACTGAACATTTAATTCACAAAACAACGAGAGCGTAACTAGCAAATTCTCACCTAAATAAGGTGGTTTGAAGAGAGGTGAGAGTAGTGGTTGTGTGGGTGTTCCCGTAGGCTGGGAGGACTTCCTTTAAAATGTAATCCTCGATGAATTGAAGCGATCGACCTGAGGCGGTGTAATCACAGTAAACGACTGAAAAAAAAAAAAACAGAATAAATAAGAAATTTTATTAAGCGGAAAGTAAACTATACGTACACGACAAAAAAAAAGAGATAAGCTGACAATAAAAAATTCCAAGATACCTTCCCGAAAAAAATAAGAAATCTACTAATCCAGCACATGAGAGAAACAAGGACCGGTATAAGAGCCTGGCATTGTTCGTATACAAGTGACACCCGACACCTAGTCGACAATGGAACTGTAAAAACGCGTAACTCCCTTTGCGACGCTGCAGCGTTCCTGTCGTAATTTATTTTCTGGGTTGAAAAATTGTCGACGTTGTTTTTTGAAAAGTCCTTTGATTTATCGCCTCTGTTAGAGAAATATTCTGTGAAACTTTAAGGCAAAAGTGTTGGTTGGTCCTATTTTGATGAAACGAAACGTAAGCGAGGATTTTAAAACAGCGAAAATGAGATATGCGCTTTTTTGCAGTTTTAACGTCGGCCGTGTCTCAGCCTCAGCGAAACGAGTTGATCATTTTCATCGAAGGCCTTCCTACTTGTTCCCTCTTCAATTCAGGTACGAATTGGCATTGTGGATTTTTTGCGTTCTTTTCTCAGACGCTGAGCCACGGTAATGATTCATTTTTATATCCTTCAAACAATTTAAAACTCGCCCGTATGATTTGAAGATACAGGATTATATGGGCGGAACTAGGAACCTCTAGCGAAAGGAGGACAGAAGGAGCTCTCGTTAGGGTAGGTACGTCCGGGGGACACTAAAAAACACACCGTCAAACGGGATTTCAGGAAGATTTTGTGAGAGACTCCCGAGAGGAACTCAGGGGATGGGTTTGGGGGGACCGCCTCGGGAATTTTTTTAAAATCGAGTCGTCTCAGGTGTAATTTGGAGCCTACCTTGCCAACATATTTATGGAATTAGAGTCTTAAAATGTGTCAACACTCATTTAGTAAAATCTCTTTTATTTCGTGAGAAGCGCCTAAAATTTATATTTCAGGGAACGGGGAGCCCCCCTCCCCTACAGAGGCGTTGTTCCGTCCAAAATTGAATACCAAAATCGGAGAAGGCTTTTCAATCGCTGCACGTGCACGTTGGCAGCAAGAAAAACATTGCTGAAAAAAGAAGTAAAGAGGGAGTTTTTCAAATTCCAGCGAAAAAACAGCTTGACTTCAGCATTTTTAGATTCAAGTGGAAGTTTATCTAACAATGGAGCACAAGGCAGGGTGCAAGTTAGACGTCTGTAAGGCATGTGCCATCAAAATATTACGCAGAACATATCGGAAACTTCCAAAATCAAATCACATAGGTGAGAAAATCAATGTTCACTGTTAACATTGTAAGTAAACAGTAAAAAATTCAAACTTCCCATTCGTCAAGAAACCATTTTGGGTCAAATCAGCCATCAAAAAACAACCTTCACGTTGGAATAACTGGAGCATGATTACACACATGTTTCCTTCCTACCTGATACAAATTACTTACGCGATAGATTTTACTTGTGTAAGCTTTGATTTTCAGTAAGCGGGATGTTTGAATTGACACACACATAAACGGCTATTTTTTTCACTTAGGGGTAGAATTCGGGAAGTTTCAATGCGTCCTCTACATCAAATGATGAGAAAACATGGACTGCCTAAAGTAACCGACGTCTGTCAATAGGTTTACGAATGGTCTATTCTTTTAGCAAAGTTTATAGAGCAAGATTAATTTGCGATTTTCGAATAGATCCATTATTCGTGCTCTGCAGTGCGTTTGTTGCCTATAGGCAGAAAAACTGAGGGCAAGCTTCAGATGGACGATCTCTACCAATGGATAATCAACATCAGTCATTGCGCGGTTCAATCGTAGCTCCTGAAGCGATAAAAATGTGTATTTTAATGGATCCCTGGTATGATTTTTGCCTATGCGACGAGACTGAAGGCGAACTTCAAGTGGACAGTGTCCGTTAATGGGTTCACGCATAATCTATTAGTTAAGCGATGTGTGTGGAGCGAGATTAATGCACGATTTTTTATGACAGCGCAAAGATACAACTATTCGTGCTTGAAGGATGTGCGCGTTGCATCTGCCAAATTGAAGGCGCGATGGCGCGAGGCGTCAAATCGCATTGCTCCGCTCTATGCTGCCAGTGAGGGGTCGCTCGGATTTGGGAGAAAGGTTAAAAAGCGAGGCCCGATTGCGTCTCTCCTATCTTCGGTTGTGTTTCTCACGTGGCTTTTGAAGTGTCGCTTCAAATAATACAACTGGAACCGACACAACATAGGGATAGAGCAAGGTAAAGACGGCGCGTTGATGACGGCGCAGAGATACAACTATTCGTGCTTGATGGAAATTCGCGTTGCATCTGTCAACTTGAAGGCGCGATGGCGAGAGGCGTAAACTCACAATGCTCCGCTCTCGGCTGCCAATGAGGGGTCGCAAAGATTCGGTAGAAAAGTTAAAATACGGGGCCCGAATACGACGCTCCTATCTTCGACTGTGTTGACACATGATTTTTTTTCTTTTCTTCGATGTGCTTTATGATTCATTTTAGGATGTATTTGTAGACCTATGTCTAAAGCTAGTTTTTACCGGCACTACAACTCACCCAGAAGAAATGGTCGGGTCAATTAGACCCGGTTTGGGCTTTCTGGGGGTAGCTGTCCCGACACTCGATTTTTTTTCCTTTCTTTTCAATTTTATGCCTGTTTTTACTTTACCAGGGTGTCTAGTGTATTTTCATTCGAGGAAATCCTGTATTTTTCTGATTTCTGACTGCTAAATCCTGATTTTATAATTTTTCCAAATTCTGATTTTTTGCGGAGAAAAATTAAGCGAAAGTATTACTTCACAAAAATAGCTCGAAAAAAAAATCCGATCGGACGGCCGACTTTTCACAAATCCTGACTTTACGACCGATTTTTCCTCAAATCCTGATTTTACGACCGATTTTTCCTCAAATCCTGATGAACTCGGGATTAAATCCTGATTGACTTCAAATCCTGATAGAATCGGGACAATCCTGCTGCTAGACACCCTGTTTACGATATATTTGTGAAGCCACCTCTAAAGCTCGCAAGTACCGGCCCCATAAAACCCGCGGGTCACGTGTTTTTAGCAAGCCTCGGATTAATTTGACCCGCTTTGGGCATCTAAGAGTTAAGAAAACAGAAGAGAAAAATTTGATTCATTTTCTTCAATAGAAGACGTAAGTATAATTGCACTATGATTAGATGAAATTCGTGCCCATTTTTCTTCGTGAACGACCACACTTCGGATGAAACTACAAAAACTCGCGTATCTCGTTTGTAATACGTCATTCTCATTTCACGTTATCAAAGGAAGACGAATCAACACTACAGCTTGAATCTTTCGTAGAATATTCTTGACACGTACCTGGAGAAGAAATCAGGGTAGTTTTCAAGAGATGACATTCAGTATTGTTCTGTTTAAAAAATAGATGATGACGGGAGGTATACAGCGTTGAAGGCAGAGGCAGAGATACGTGTTTATAAAGTTCACCGTCTTTCGACGCTATTAGTGCCACTTCACAGGCATCGAATTGGATCCAAATAATTAAACAAAACCTTACATTGACCACCCTCCTCTTTCTCCATCCGAATTTCACGATTTCACTGTCAAAAAACTGACATGATGCCGCCCCCCCCCCCCTTCTAAAACTGCATTATCCTGTCGACTGACTGGAAAAACTCAAGGATAAGATAGAGTTTAATCATACAGGAACGTTTCATGATTAGAAAAATTTCTCTAATAACACCAATTCTTATTTCAAACTGCGCGAATCATTCCTGGAATTATCACGGTTGGTGTTTGAATCGTGAGGTTGAATTGTTTATATCCAATTCGATACGATCGATACCGGCTGTGACGTGGCGGTGGCACTAATACCGTCAATAAGGAGCAAACATTGAAACGACCTGCGTGATTCGATGGGCGCCATATTTTGTGTCAAAACGACATGCGAGATATCGCAAAGATTGGTTCCATTTTTCCAGCTACTCGTCATTTTTCTAGAATTTTGAGATTGCAATTCTGTTGTCAGGAGACGAAAGAATTCACTTACCAATTTTGACGATCAAATTCAACGTAATATAGGCTCGGTTTTTTTAGAGGGAAAATATCGCATTCGAGTGCAGTTTCAATATCACTATCGAATGCGATATATTTCCTCTAGAAAAAACACGCCTTTATTAAGTTGAATTTGTTTGTCAAAATTGGTAAGTGAATTCTTTCGTCTAAACAACAGAATTGCGATCTCCAAATTGGAGAAAAGTGACGAGTAGCTGGACAAAATGGAACCAATCTATGCGATACATCGCATGTCGTTTTGACACAAAATATGGCGTCCACCAAATTATCTGAAGCGTCGGAAGGCGAAGAGAGGCACGGGATCGGTTACAGTGACAATCACTGATGATTATGTATTTTAGTGCGCTTCTATCTTCCCCCTTTCCGCTCGGGTATCCGAGCCAAAAATTCACTTCCCTCTTCATTCATAGAGGTGGACGTGCGGGCAGACCTTGGGCGCAAAAACAAAACTTTAGCCCCCCCCCCCCCCCNGACTTTCCCTTTTTCACACCTCTGGCCCTGAGCTTACGGTTCAATGAATTCTCATGGTCCATTAACGATAAACAGGCGTGTAAATTGTGCTGCTGTAACGTATGAGTAATTACATCTTTTCGTCCGAACACGCTAAAGGGCGATGACCTCAGGATTTTTGCGGCGCATACGATTTATGAATCGTGGCAAAACGGAAGAGGATCCCCCTCCCCTCCATTTAAAAAAAAAAAATAAACTAAGCTACCTGCCATTAAAAAACCGATAGCTTTGAGCCCATTGGCGGGAGAAACATCGACGACTAACCTTAACGAGGTTTTGAGGCGCGTAGAAACATCGTATGACCGCAAACGAAAAAACTAAAAAGGCCACAATCTCATCTCCCGAAAATTTAGGACTGAGTAAATGGTATCATCGAGTCGAAAAGAATTGAGCAATGGTATTTGGGCATGACG